TATATATATATATAAGAGAGAGAGAGAAAGAGAGAGCTAGAACAGCAAATGTAAGAATACTTATAATACAGGTAAGCATTATTCATTCAGGCACGTAGGAAGCAATTTCAGTAGGGGGGGGGGGGCAAAATATTTTCAGAGTTGGGGGGGGGGCACTATTCAAGCAAATATTCAATCAAAAAGTCATCAGTCGTTTTTATTTAGGGGGTTCAAACATAAAGTAGCTAAGTTTTCCGTTAACAATATGTCGGCAAAATTATTGTAGGTGGTGGGGTTGTTGGACATGGTCCCCAGTTCCTACGGCCATGTCATTTATATCCCCAGTTAGACGCTCAAAATGTAAAAAAAAAGCATTTAGTTAGTACAGGTTTAACCGGAATCTCACACATCCTGAATATCTATGGAATGGAAATTGACAACATAATTTCTTAAATGTATTCCCGAAAAAATCCTCGTCAAACTTTGTTAATGCATTGTTAATCATAATAATTTGCCCACCTAAGTAGTATAAGCAGCCTAGCTAGGGGGGTCAACTGAGTGCACTTTTGGGCCTCTGGGGGGATGGGGGGGTCAACTCAGTGCACCCCCGAGGTCAAGGTCAGAGATCTGGAAAAACCCGCACGCGCTCAGCACGTTCTGAGATCTGGAAATTCCTGAGATATGAGATGTGAGACATGAGATTTAGAAAAACCTGCACGCGCTCAGCGCGTTCTTACCTGCACGTTCTCAGCACTCACCTGGAAAAACCTAGCCATTATGACGTCATACACTGTATAAGTATTGCATGTTTCTGACTTGAAGCTCATTCTGTTGTCAGTTCCATCAGCTGTCGACATGGATTCTGCTATGAAAAAACTGTTACATGCCCAGCAACTGATGAGATGGAGAAGACGGGCGAAAGAGTTAGAAAGAATTATTTACAACAATAAACACAGAGAATTAGCGCTCAGAAAAAGAAATGCGAGAATATTAGAGAGAATGCAGAGAGCCCAAGTCCAACAAGAACAACAACAAAGGACTGTGTCGGATGAAGAACCACACTCACCAGCCCATTCACCACCCCAGAAGCCAAAGGCCATTTCTCAATATTATCAAGTGAGACTGAATCAAGCCAAGCATTCCAGAAAATTTAAAGCTAAAGAAGACGTCTACAGTGTGAATTTTAAGGAATTTCCAGAGGAGAAAAACAGAGGCTTTGTTCGGCGATTATTTAGAGACATGCTGCAAAATGTCAAATATCAAATGCAGTGTAATCCTAACGATTACCTATGCCTGAACATACGCCATCCTTCTCTGGATTCCGACATTTGGTACGAGTTTACGCAATGTAAACATTTTAACGAGGACGTCATTTTAGACAAAATAGAAGCCGTTCAACAATCCAAGAAAGATTTTAAACTGGGAGACGGGGCCATGGAATTCGACATGTTTCGGGTCAAGTATCCAGAAGGGAGTGGTGGAGACAAAACTAAACATCTGATGGTGAATAAGGAGAGTTTTAAGAAGAGGAAACAATCCATCGTTCAGATCGACAATCCTTGGGATAAATTTTGTTTAGCTCGAGCCATCGTAGTCACCCGGTTATACAGTCAAAAACCGGAACATTCAGAGAGTTTAGTTGAATGGGAAAAACGATGGATACGTATGCGGAAGGGTGATTACAAATATTTAGACCAGAAAAACGAAGCTATAGCTCTCATGGAACAAGCCGGGTGTAATATCCATCAGCCTTGTGGACCCGAAGAATGGGGAAAATTACAACAAGTGTTAGCCCCATGCTATCGACTGAAAATATTCCAGTTCAAGTCCACCTCCTCTAAACTCAGTTTAGAGCCCCTTTACAAAGGCTACGGAGAGGGAACTTGTTTAAATGTCCTGTTAGACGATCATCATTACGATGCCATCATATCTATGCCTGGTGTGACGGGCAATCAATACTATTGTGATCATTGCGACGTGGGGTACAGGAACATCACAGAGCATCGTACCCAGTGTCCTCACCGATGTTCCTTTTGTTTAACTAACAATCCCTGCCCTCCAGACGGGAGCCACATTCAATGTAGCCAGTGCCAGGGATTTTTTCAGAGTAGGACTTGCTACGAAAATCATCTGCAACCTCACAGTAACAATACGGCCACCACGGTATGCAGTTTAATGGGGCGATGCCACCACTGTCAGAAATGGATGCCTAAAAAATTACTCCCTCATCATCATTGCGGAGGACAGAAACAATGTAAGATCTGTAAGAAAACCGTAGACACGGATCATCAGTGCTACGTTCAACTCAAGCCCGAGAAAAAGAAAAAGAAGGGCAAAGAGACCTTACAGTTCTACATCTACATGTATTTCGATTTCGAATGTACACAGGAAACCGGCATCCACGTCCCTAATCTGTGTGTGGCACACCGCGTATGTCAACATTGCGGTCACTTACCCATAGAAGATCCCTGTCCTCACTGTCGACACATGGGACCCCGTCAACACGTGTTCCGAGGGCCAGAGACCTTAAGGCAGTTCATGAACTGGTTATTACAACCCACTACAGGAAATAAGAATTCCGCTTTATTACACGACGAGGCCATCATCATCGCCCACAATTTCAAAGGATACGACGGACAGTTCATTTTAAATTACCTGGTTCATTCCGCCTGCCTGAAACCTACCGTCATCATGAACGGCAGTAAAATCTTATCCATGCAAATCTGTGGACTGAAATTCATCGATTCCTATAATTTTTTACCTTTTGCCCTGTCCAAGATGCCCTCTGCTTTCGGATTCACCGAACTGAAGAAAGGATATTTTCCACACTTTTTTAATACGGAACACAACCAGAATTACGTGGGGCCTTATCCACCGGCAGCTTACTACAATCCGGACGACATGTCTATTAGTGGACGACAGGCTTTTTATCAATGGTACGAACAACAAGCCGGAAAAGTGTTTGACTTCCAGAAGGAATTTTTAGACTATTGTATTTCAGACGTCGATATTTTACGACGATGCTGTGCTCAGTTTAGAGCCACCCTCAAGAGCTTGGTCCATGTAGACCCCTTCCAGGAATCCATCACTTTTGCCAGTGCGGCCAATTTAGCTTACCGTCGAGGATTCATGCCCAAAGAGACCATTGCCATCATTCCCAACCTGGGGTATCAGCCTGCGCGTCGATATTCCGCCAAAGCCTGTCGGTGGTTAAGCTGGATGAGTCACCAGACCGGATCTCACATCCAACATGCTAGAAACGGGGGAGAAGTCAAGATCGGAAGTTATACCGTCGACGGATACCAGGAAGCCACTCGCACCGTCTACGAATTTTACGGATGCTATTGGCACGGATGCCCCACCTGCTATCCGAATTTACAGACCGAAAGTCATCCTCACCGGACCCAATTTACCTATGAACAATTACACGAGGAAACTTTAAGACGGAGTTCTGTTTTAGAGGAAATGGGGTACTCCCTCCGTAGCATCTGGGAGCACGAATTCGATCAACAGGTACAAAGAGAGGTAACTCTACAGAATTATGTACGAGACCTGGACATTCCAGATCCTTTGAACCCCCGAGACGCCCTGTACGGAGGTCGGACTAATGCCACTAAATTATATTGTGAGGAGGGGGACATGAGATACGTGGACGTCTGTTCCTTATACCCTTACGTATTAAAACACAAACTTTTCCCCCTAGGCCATCCTCAGATCATAACAGACCAATTCCAGGACGTGAGAACTTATTTCGGCCTCATTCACTGTCGGGTCCTACCACCCCAAGGCCTCTATCACCCCGTTTTACCTTATCGCACGGGAGGCAAGTTATTATTTCCCTTATGTCGAACGTGTGCGGAACGACAGGACTCTACCTCTAAACATCGATGTCAACACGCAGACCAGGAACGCAGTCTTACGGGTACCTGGGTGACTACAGAATTACATAAAGCCCTGGACATGGGATATACCTTAGAGCGGATTTACGAAGTTTGGCATTTTTCACAAAGCAGTCGAGATTTATTCAGATCTTACATCGATACCTTCTTAAAGATCAAACAGGAAGCTTCTGGATTCCCACCTGATTGTCAGACGGAGGAACAGAAACTAGATTACATTCGTAAAGTCTTAGACAGAGAAGGGATCAGGATGGACCTGTTAAGTATAGAAAAAAATCCGGTGCTAAGAACGATAGCCAAACTCTTTTTAAATTGCTTGTGGGGAAAATTCGCTCAACGCCTGTTATTACCTAAAACTCGATACTTGACCGAAGAAGAGGAACTACAGCAACTCTTACAAGATTCGACCATTGACATCAAAGGGATAGAACTCTTAGAAAATAAAGAGCAGGCCGAATCGGACATGATGCTGGTCAATTATCAAGAGAAACAGGAATTCGTGGAAGAGTGTCCCTTCGGAAACGTGGTACTGGCCTGTTTCACTACCGCCCATGCCCGATTACACCTCTACGAGACTTTACAACCTTTGGGAGATCGGGTCCTTTATTTCGACACGGACAGTATCATATACCAACATAAGGAGGGACAATTTAATCCTACCCTTGGCAACAGTTTAGCAGAATGGACCGACGAATTAGACGGGGACCACATTATCAAATTCATGTCAGGAGGCCCCAAAAATTATGCTTACCTCACAGCCAAGGGAAAATCCATGTGTAAAGTCAAAGGATTGACTTTCAATTATCGGGCCTCTCAGATCGTGTCACCAGAGACTTTAGAAAAAATGCTCCAGAAAGAAATTGACGAAATCCAAGTCTCGTATCCCTACAAAATACAGAGGACTCGTCAACATGAAGTCAAGACAATACCTTTAGAAAAACAATATAGAATTGTCTATGATAAGAGACAATTGATGGAAGATTATAACACTTTACCTTATGGTTATTAAAAAAAACAAAACAAAAAAAAACTGTATTTTAAGTGTTGTTGTTATTTTATGGGGAAAACCCCCAAAAATGAGGGGTTATAAAAAGGGGGGGAAAATAATATAACACTTCAGTCATGGCTGGTGTTGATAAGGAGCCAGACTACCTTCCTGTTTACCCTAAATATGCTCTGCTCTTAAAGAGAGAAGCTACCTTTGATGATCGATGGCCCGATTCTTTAAAAGGATTAATACCCGACCTAGCCAAAGCCGGATTTTATTACAGAGGAGTGAGTGATAAGACCATCTGTTTTCATTGTGGTATGACTTTAAACCTCTGGGAACCTACAGACGATCCTTATGTAGAACATGCTTATTGGAACCCTAATTGTCCCTACATCAATACCTATGAAGGACGTGAGTGGGTGATGAATGTATTCATTAACCATTTACTCCGGGCGGGATACAAACCTTCACCTGAAATCAAACCTCTACTAGACCAAACCTCTACAGAGATCCAGGCCACAGGAAAATGTCACATTTGTTTAGAGAGAGAATTACAAATGGCTTTACTCCCTTGCGGACACGTATGTTGCTGTTCATTATGTGCTCCCACCTTCCGGTATTGCCCCATCTGTCGAGCCGATGTGAAGAGAACCCAGCGTATATTTCTGTGTTGACTATGAATAAAAAGGATTGAAACCCTATTTTTCTCTTCATTTGTCATCATGCAACCTGAGGAGACACTCCCGTCTTTTCAATTGAAACACGAATTTACCATGGTGGTAGCAGGACCTTCTAAATCGGGAAAAACGGAATTTGTCAAGAAATTGGTGAAAAATTTACATTGGATTACCCCCATGCCACAAAAAATTGTCTGGTGTTATCGGGAATGGCAACCTGCTTACACTTCTTTAACAGATCGGGTCTCCTTCATTCGAAATATTCCAGAAGACGATGAGAAATTAGTGGCCAATTTAACTATTCCTCACTTACTCATTTTTGACGACATGATGGGAGGAAAAGCCATCGAATCGATCGTGGATTGGTTTACCCGTAAAGCGCATCATCGGAATACCAGTGTGATTTACATCACTCAGAACTTATTTGATCGGGCACCACAGCATCGCACCATTAGTTTGAATGCTCATTATTTAGTGTTGTTTAAAAATCCCAGAGACAAATCTCAAATCAGTGTCTTGAGTCGACAGTTAGCCTTACCACATTTGATGTCGGCCTATCAAGAAGCCACCAGTGTTCCTCACGGGTATCTCCTGGTTGACTTGAATCCACAGACCCCAGACGAATACAGATTGAGAAGTCGATTGTTTGAATGGTTGACTGTACACATGCCACAAGAGTATAAATAAAAATGTACCAACATTACACTTGTCATTCATCATTATACAGTCGTCATGGATCGACCTCTCTCGGCCAAGAGTAAATTAGTGAAAACGTTACGACGTTTACAGCGGGAACGAGATCCTGCCAAGCGAGCCCATTTAATCGAATTAGGGCGTAAAGCCTTATTGAATTGGTTTGCTATGGGAGCTCGAAATTTGATACGTGGGGTCTTACCCATCAATAAACAGACTCAAAAGTTTATTAATAATCATCGTCAAGATTTAAGTATCATAGCCGATAAGTCGGCGAGTGATCAAGACAGAAAAAATGCCATTTTAAAACGCGGAGGAGCCGGATTTCTAGGCGGAGTCATCATTCGTCATTTATTTAAATGGAATGCACCTAAGAAACGACGTGTCCGTCGTTTGAAAAGTGTGGTAGTCAGAGTCGATAATAAGAAACAAAGAGTGTTTCCCGATTGGATGGTGCGAGTAGGAGGAGCAGCTCAAAAGACCAGAAAGAAGAGAAAACCTCCTAAGAGAAAACCTCAAAAGAGAAAACCTACTCAAAGAAAAGCCCCTGGTGGTAGAAAGAAAAAAAAAACGACTCCCAAGACTCCAGCTCAACGAAAAGCCATGCCCGAAAGTCTGAAAAACGAAATCAATCAGTATTATAAGGAACAAAGACAAAAAACTATTGGGGAGTTATTAAAGAAACAAGCTGAAATGAGAATGGATCGTCCTATGGGGCCCATAGGCAGTCAAAGAGCTACCGATTTAGAAGTGTTTCCTCGAGTCAATGTGGGAATTCCCTCTCCTAGAATTAAAGTACCCATTCACACTCCTAAAATAGCACGCTTTCAACCTCTGACCGCCTCTACACCTACACTTCCTAAAGGAATGAGATATAAATGTCGATATTGTTCCAAAATCTACGTCACCCAGAAAAATAGAGACAAACACGAGAAGGACAAACACGACATGTATGCTCCTCCTCCTTGAGAGTATAAAAAGGAGAGAAACCTGGGACATGTCCTCATTTTAACCCCAGGATGGCTAAGAAGAAGAAAAGAAGGACTTGCTGTTCTACACGATTAAAACCTCACTGGCCTCTTTTAAGAGTGTTATCTGACCCTCACTATTCCTCTCCATTAAAGACGGGTATTTTAAAACATTGTTCTGGAGATTGTATTCTCAAAATCTGCGAGATCGTGTACAACCTATTAAAAGGAGTGTTACCTCTCAGTTCGGCTCATAAACGAAAACTAGCTCCTAAGAAACACATCTTCAGGAGACTGGTCAAACCTCAATCTGTCCATAAACGACGAGCTTTATTACTTCAACAAAAAGGAGGAAACATTTTACCCCTTTTAATCTCAGCAGCACCTTTACTGTTGGGTGCCGGTCAGTCCGTCTATAAAGTCATCAAGAAGAAGAAGAAGAAAAAAAAAATGAGTCGTAAAATGGTGTTAGTTCCCGAAGTCTTATTGAATGATCTCAAGGCAAAATTACCCAAACCTCCGGAATTTCAATCTACCATCAGTTTAGGTCAGGAATTGGACGAGATTACAAGACGTGAAGATTTAACCCCAGAAGAAAAAGTCGCTTTATATGGCCAGGAACTTCATCAATATAGGAATTATTTACAACAAGCTAGACAGGAACCTATTTCTAAACCTAAAATTTCAGCAGCTCCAGCAGCAGGAGCAGCTCCAGCCCCAGCAGCAGCAGCAGCAGCAGTATCACCAGCAGCCCCAGCTGAGATTGAAGATGAAATCCTTGAAACAGTGAATAAAAACATGAAAAGAAAAGCTGGATTATTATTAAATCATTTAAAGAAAACCAAGGTGTTGAGTTGGAATAAGGAAGGTGAAATTAGTTATCGAGGTCAAAAAGTTCCCGATTCTAACATTGTGGATTTAATGGCTGATAGTATGAGATCTCGTTCTCGTAAAAACCATCCCCTTCCTAAAGGATTAGATGAATTTGCTCAAGCTTTAAAAGAGACGCGTACTCCTCTGGAATACGTGAGCAATGGAAACCTTATAAAAGCCATGCAGAGACCTGGAAAAATCAGTACTCCTAAAAGTATCTTCAGTGATAGTGAGGACGAGGGCGATAGTGGATTTAAAGATGCTTCTTCTTCATTTTTGACCCCTATTAGTAGACCTGTAGGAGATAGAGGAATAAAAAAATCCACTCCTAGACCTCTGTTAAATTTAGCGAAGGCCATCAAAAAATCTAAATTCAGTCCAAGTTTACCGAAAAAGAGATTAGAACAGATCGACGAAAATTGGCTTTCATTACCTAAGATATGAAAAAGAAACCAGTGGAAGACATTTTAAAAGAGATTTATTATGATCCTAAAAGAGGGTACGGAGGACTACAAGCTTTGTATCGTCAGGTCAGAAGTCTGGGACATAAGATTTCCTTGAAAAAGATTCGAGAATGGTTAAAAGAGCAAGATACCTATACCTTACATAAACCCATTCAAAGAAAATTCCGGAGACAACAGACTAGAGTGACGGATATAGACGAACAATGGCAATTAGATTTAGCAGATGTGTCCAGTTTAAAGAAACACAATGACGGATATACGTTTTTATTGTGTGCCATTGACGCCTTATCTAAATATGCCTGGGTGGTGCCTTTAAAACAGAAAACGGGAAAGGAAATGATTCGAGGATTACGAGAGATTTTTCAACAAGACGGTCGACGTCCCGTCCGCATTCAATCGGATCAAGGAAAAGAATTTACCAATCGAGAATTCTTACAAGCTTTTAAATCCATTCATTTTTTTACCACTCGTAATACGGACACCAAAGCCAGTATCGTGGAACGATTTCAGCGTACTCTCAAAGCACGCATGTGGCGTTATTTCACCCGTCATAAAACCAGACGGTATTTAGAGATCTTACCGGATTTAGTGTATGCTTACAATCACACTTATCATCGCAGTATCCAAAGAACACCAGCTCAAGTGAATGCTTCTAATGTGTTAAAAGTCTGGAAAACTTTATATGGGAAATCCAATCGGAAACAGTTTCCTAAACCTCAGTTTAAAGAAGGAGATCGGGTACGCATCAGTAAAGCCAAGCGCACATTTGAAAAAGGATATTTACCTAACTGGACCACAGAACTGTTTACCATTTCAAAAAGAGTTCCTGGAAGGTATCCTTACGTGTATAGAGTGCAAGATTATAACGGAGAGGAATTAGAAGGGACTTTTTACGAGAAAGAATTACAAAAGATCATTAAAAAAGACGACCTGTACGAAGTGGAGGAAATCTTGGGGTATAAAAAGCGACGCCTAGGAAAAAAAATCATTCAAGAAGTCAAAGTTCGGTGGAAAGGATATCCCCCTAGTTTCGATTCATGGATTCCCCAAACGGATCTCATCCAATAACTCCTCACTGGAAATTTTGTGGAGAGAATGTTCCCCGAGAAGAAATCGTTTATTTCGCACAATTATTGATCTGTGTATCTCTCATCGTCACCAGTGTGGTCATGTTAGCTTTACACGATCCTAATCGAGAATATTGGATGGTATGTGTGAGTTCTTCAGTGGGTTATATCATGCCTAGTCCTACGATGATGCATCATACACCTACCCCTAAGAAGACCACGAATGCACAGAGTTAATGTCTTAAAAAATAGATACACCACAGAGTATATATAAAATGGGGAAACAACAAAGATTTTTTTCATTTCTGATCTGACTGAGGACAGAGTACAACATGGAATTTTTAAGCTCCGAGTATCGTTGGAAAATGCAAGAGCATACAGGTTCCACTAAAAAAGGAGAATGGATGAAAAACAAAGAGGAATGCATCCAAGATTTCATGGATAAGAATCCGGGAGAAACAGGACTCAATGATGTGTACCTGTATAAGAGATTCAAATTACCGGACCATGAATGTGCACCACTCATAGTATTATTATTAGGGTCATGGCGACCCCAGTATCAGGAATTCAAATGGAAAGTCAAATACGTTTTGGCTCACAAAACAGAGGCACCAGCAAGGACCTGGATTTAAGGAAAATGGATGGAAGAAGTCCGAGATTGTATCAAAGATTATGTAAACAAAATGCTCAGAGAAGGATACGACATCATGGACTGTGCTTGTGAAACAGAATATTTGTACATGAGGAGAACTTTTCCTATTCAAAAAGAACTATGCAAAAGTATTCCATGTTTGTTAATTTAATGTTGTTGTTGTTGTGAATTAAACCTAAGAAAAAAAATAATAAATTCTGGTGTTGTTGGTTTTTCCGCTTCGACTAAAAATAGATATCCCAAGGTATATAAATCTTAGCTTTGAGTTCACTGTGCTCAATTTTTTCAATCATGCCTTCTGTGTGGAGAATGTCGTATTTTCTTCACCAAGAAAATAGTGCCTGTCCTCATTGCCATAGGCAGTTGAGAGAGATCACTGGGAAGTAGACGATCCCCCTAGTTTGTGGTGTTGTCGCTGTGATTGGTGCCTGAAATATTACCTGTGGAAATATGGGGTTGATTTTATGATGCCACGTTGGGCTAAGCGCATGAGAAGAAATACCAAGATCGAAAGATGCCCCTCCTGTTGGGAAGAAAACACCCAAGGAAAATGGAAATGTCAACAGTGTATGAAATATCCCTGCTGTGAAAAGTGTTACAAGTCCATTATACGGCTTTCTTACAGAAATTGTCCCTTGTGTCGATTTGAACAATAATAATAATAATAATAATAATAAAAAAAAACTATAAACAAACCAGGTCTTATTTTCTCAGCTGAATACATGTGATGACGTCACAATAGGCAGCTTGATGACTTGAATCGGTGCCAAGTTTATGCCCTAGGTAAAAACCTGGTTTTTTTTTTTTTTTTTTTTTTTTTTTTTTTAAATTTATTTTTAGACTTTGGAAAAACCAATAGACTTAAAAAATTTATTTTTTGACTTTGAAAAAACCAATAGACTTAAATAGAGTAAGAACGTGTTAAGCACGTGTGGGTTTTTCCAAAGCGACTATAAATAGTCAGATCCAA